CAATGTTGACATTACGAAACAATCTAATTACAGAAAATAAATTCAGATCTATTCCAAGCTATAATTAATTCGTTTTATGCGTTCAAATTTTCGCACAGTCTAATTGTGGCTAAATCATTTAGTTCGAATACGTGTGTGTATTATTATTATTGGTGAAATAACAGGCACATGGGACTTGTCAAGTTATGTCTCAGGGTGCCGGGCGCAGTGGCAGCGCCCCAAGATATTATAAAAATAATGAAAATGAAAAATGTTTAACTACTTACAGTTTGTAAAATATCAACTTTTTAGCACTTGACTATATTATGTTTTAAATCATTTATACCTACGAGTAACATATCGCATAGTCAACACTGATCTAACTCATAATTGGTAAACGTGGCAAATTAACATTCGACGGATCTGTTTTCGAATAAACACTAACGTTCAGTCGTTAAAAGTGGCATTAGCCGACAGAAGCCGGTGTGTGATATTTATTAACAGTATGCACGTTCAAAATTGTAAACAAATAAATAGATCACAAATGTTAAGTTTACGATCTGTAATAGTAGGTATAGGTCTTTTAGAATATTGTGAAAATTTAAATGTTACCAATAAAGCAAACTGGTGGTGAAAATTTTACCCAACTGATGAGTTCGCAATCTTTTAATCCATCCAATAGCTTTTCGTATTTAAATCTATGGGCTATAATCGTTTAGCGAAGGTCCTGCAATCAGAAAGTCGTTACGACTCGTAGTTGAGGCAGCGTAAAAAGTAATTTGCTCGCCGTCAATGGACGAGGTAATTGAGATTTGTTGGATAAAAATCGTGTTAATGTTAGAATAATATTCATACTTATTTATTGCCTTATGTGCTTACAAAATGATATATAACACGTAAAAAATAGACCACGATCTATTTTAGAGGCATGTACTAACAATAAAGTTTAACTTACAAAATAAACGTTGCTCTAATCCCAAAGTAACTAAAGCACTTGTCTTATGGAAATCGGTAACAACGACGGTACCACAAATACCAAGACCCGAGAGACAGAGTTTTTCTACATTGACCCGACTGGGGATCGAACCCGCGACATGAAAACCGGTATGCAAGCCACCCGACCACGAAGGTCGTCAAAACCTACTCAGTTAAAAGCGAAATATAAGACAACTATGTACTGATTGATTACATTTATTGTCTGTTAATAGGAGTTATCTCGCTTCGGTTTCATTTACGGCTTATGTTTCGGCTTCTGCTATGGCTTTGCTAAAGCTTCGTCTACGGCTTCTGCTATAGTTTCTGCTACGGCTTCCACTTAGTCTCGCTTCTGTTTCTACTTCTGAAATAGAATAGAAATATTTTTTATTCCAGAAAAACTTCTGCTTCCACTTTTGCTTTTGCTATGCTTTTGATTCCGCTTCCGGTTCTGGTTCTGCTTTTGCAATGGTTACTGCTACGATATCTGCTTCGGTTTCTGCTATGTTCTGATTATGTTACGTTCTGCTTCTGCTACGTTGTGCTTCTGCTACGTTCTGCTTCTGCTACGTTCTGTTCTACTTCTGCTATGGCCCAGCACGTGGAACGTTTAAATGAGTTGATGACGATGAGTACAATTTTTAAAACTCGATTATGGTGACATTTAAATAAAGGTTCCCATATACCGACGATCCTCGTTTCGATCGATCGTCACGATCCGCCGCTACTCCCCTGATGTTCAAATTAATTGTTAACGACTTACCTAAATATATGTACACTATAACTGCCTCAGTGGCAGAAAGGTTACCATGCCGGACTGCCACGCAGAGGTGCCAGTTTCGATTCCCGGGCCGGAAGAAATATTTGTAAGGCCTACATTCATCTCTCGTGAGTTTTGGGTGTAATTTGTGGTTGTCTATGTGTGTGTCCATGGCGACCGCGACACAGGGTTTCCCTAGTGCGAGACTATGTTGAGTGCGTTACTGTGCGTTACTGCTATTTATTCGTCGTTTCGATCAGTCTGAAACGACGGATCATGAAGTCAAATCGTCCCGTATATGGGGAACCTAGTAAGAGGTGGCTACGCTGCTAACAACGCTCATAGCGAAGTTGGTAGTGATATTCTTTGCCAAAATCCACTTAATAGACAACAATGCGAACGACGACCAAGTTTGGGCAAATCATTCAGACGTATTAAAACAGACTCTGCACTTAAAACTGCTGGTGATTTCAATGTACAACGCTACTAATATAGCAAATATCGATATGATAATCGCGTATCCGCAATAAAGCCTCATTTAAATTCTGTACAAAGCGTCGCGCCAAGTAGATACCTACTACGAATAGTGCACCGATGATTGCAAATTTCAAATATATCTATTTTAGATTCAGCTGATAGTATTCCCGTTGGACCGGTCGATTTTGGTCCGCAACAGTTTAGAACTACACAAATAAATACCGTTTCGATGCGGAAATTTTGCTATGCTGTAATGCGGATTTTGGTATTTGTATGAAAACAAATCCATAGGATTTTATTATTATCGTTTATTACTTCTTAATTATATTTATTTTTTTATTATTATTAATTTATTATTAATTATATTTATATTAATTATATACTTCTTAAGTACATTGTGCAACAAGTGCATAAAACGCGTCATTTTACCAGAGACGAGTATGGATACTTAAGTCGAGGGTAAAATGGGTTTTATGAACGAGTTATACGCTCTACTTTTCACTTCGATTGCGAGGAAATTAAACAACAATATTACAAATAAACGATTATTTCATTAAAATTGAATGTAAAATTACAACAATTAGACATATTTAATGTGATGGGTTTTTCCTGGCACATTCAGTGTATTACTAAAAAAATAAAAGTAAAAATTTATTTTATAACATTGACCTAAGGTCAATGTTTTATAAAAGTCTAGTTTGCGTGGCTGTTGGCGTCATTACCTCGGTCTTAAACGACGATTTTATTTTATGCACTAGAGCATAAAATTCTATTTTATGCAGCCTATAGCATAAATACGAACTTTAAGAGCATGAGAAGTGAAAAACAGTATTTTTGTGGTATGTTATATCTTGTGTGTTAATGTTCAATATCCATTCAATCCATCCATAAGACAAGTAGGACAACGCCCGCCTGTTCGGCACGTAAATGCCTACACTTCGCGCGGAGCTACACTTTTTTGAATTTTGTGCTCTTTTTTTTGCTATTTAAAGCGGATAAGCGGATTTGAGTATTTGTCAGTTACACGCGTTTTAGTTAGTGGACGGCAGTATAAGCTAGTAGTACATATAAGCTAATAGGGTTGTAAGCATAATTAAAAAAAAACTTACTCATCACAGTATTCTCGTATAGAAATAACCTTTGTTAAATGCAGTACTTACGTATTGATTTCTTTATAATAGCATGACGGATTGATATTTCAATTATGGGAGTATGATTATGAAATAGAAATTAAATACAGAACAAGAATTTCAGCCACTTTTTTTCGAACCACAAACACCACAATAAACACGTCTACTATTTGATGTACCAGTAGGCCTCGCGTAAGTCGCGCCCTATCGTGCTAGCCCTACAGCGATGTCCCACGGCTCTGAGACGTGGTCACTTACAACTCATAAAAAAGCTCAAAGTCACTTCACGGGCCATGGAGCGAGCAATGTTCGGTATTTCTCTACGTGATCGAATCAAATATGAGGAGATCCGTAGAAGAACGAAATTCACCGATATAGGCCAAAGCAAGTTGAAGTCGTTTTATGAGAGTTGTCTCAAGCTAGTGGCAGTGGCAGTGGGCAGGGCACATAGCTCGTAGAACTGACGGCCGTTGGGGCAGAAAGGTTCTCGAATAGAGACCACGAACCGGAAGGCGTTCGGTGGGACGGTCCCTTACTAGATGGACGGATGACCTGGCAAGGACGGCGTGTAACCAATGGATGCACGTTGCGTCCGACCGCTTAGTTTGGTAATCTTTGGGGAGGCCTATGTTCAGCAGTGGACGTCTTCCGGTTGATATAATGATGGCTATTTGATGTTATTTTTTAAACACTGAACGACTGCTTTAATTCTATAACGAATGGCGCGTGTGACGACTGGCGCTATGCAATGTGAGTAGTCCGCGAGATATTACGAAAGTGTTCGTCTGTACATGGCGCGCGACCGACGTGCACACATACCTTAGACTATTTTTTTTTCCATCCTCTAAGACACATACTAGCCGTGTTGCTACGTTTATACGGATGTTACCATATTTGTCTTATTATACAATGACATTACGATTTAATCAAAACGCAGCTGTAAAGATCGTGATACGAAACACTAAAACTACAAGCGAAACACTAAGCTACACGCCTGTCCAACAGTTGCAGTGCCACTCAGAGCCTTAAATCGCAAAGATCTGAGGGACACTACCACTGCGCCCGTCACTCAGACATAAGTTGACAAGTCTTATGTGCCTGTAATTTCACCAATAATAATAAACACACGTATTCGAACAACACAACTAACACCAATGTGTTTCAGGGATAAATGATTCAGCCACAATTAGGCTGAGTGAAACTTTGAACGCATAAAACAGATTCATTATAGCTTGAAATTGATCTGAATTTATTTTCTGTGATTACATTGTTTCGTAATATCAACATTTAAAGCATTTTCCATAGAATTACAAGCGATATCTGGATACTTAGACGGATGCCGAAATTATTGTGGCAATATAAAAAGGCCAAAACTTTTATTTAAAACTTATTTCGACTGTGAAGTAGCAATCGGTACTATCAATTGACAAATATATGACAACTTTACAGGTGGAGAAAAAATTGTTTTTTGCGTCCATTATGTTTGCGTCATTTAAATAGCATCTGATTTATTAAATAAAAATACGTAGTTTTTAAATATTTTTATTACACATATATGTACACGACGTATTTTTATTTCATTTTTTTCTTCACGTGGTTAAGTTACAACCTCTTTTAAACAACCAACAAGATTTCGTAACTTCGACACCTTTCAGTTTAGTGAAAATAACCAACAACCCAGTTTAGTATATAAATGGCTTTCAACCGTTTTTTTTTATGTCCACGAAAAAAACAATGTCATATCGTAACCAAAATTTATTTCATTTGTAATAAACAATAAAAACCTTTAAATTCACTTGTCTTACTTTCAAATTATTACTAATCCTTCTTAATATATTTCACAAGAATAAATTCCTGTGATAAAATTAAAACATTATCGTAAATGTGTTTAGAACCATAATCCACCGTCATCAGCTTCCTCCTCGCTGTCGGTTACTTGTAGATCGTCTTGAATGGCAGGGTCCGGCTTTAAAAAAAAAGAGATTATTGTTAAAACTAACAAAGATTAGCAGCTAACAACAACTCGCACAATTTATTGGAGCATATAATAATATTGTGGTATTTTTAACGTTTTGCTATGTATGTCTAGTTGAATAACTAAGCAAACTGGTCTTGTAAAGAAAGTCTGGACCTTATGCCATTTCTTTTCACATAGCAGTAATAAATAAAGGAAATAACACTTTTTATCTTCTATGTTTATTACAAAAGATAAAATTACAGGAGAATAAAAGTAAAATTGTATATCGAAGGCCGCGCCTTGTGGCATCGTATTTAAGAGGCTGGTAACATTTGCTCTTCAGATCGCTAACCATAGCAGAATTGGTCGCCTGCTTTCTTAAGAAGAGAACTGAAAACTCATGAACGAGGAATTGCAACCGTGGAATGCCTCTATACTCGTATGCGTGGGTATGGTAGGCAGTAAGGGCGCTTGCGCACGACGTCGGATTCGTATCAGGGGGTCTACTCTCGATCTCCTCCTTAAGTTCTCAAGACCGTAACATGTTACGTTCTTGATAAATATAAATTCGGAAACACCATAACTAGAAATAAAATTACTCATGACTTCATGTATTAATAAAGGTTAAATAATAAATGAATACAATATAATAATAATATAATAAATTGCGTTTCCAAACGAATGATGTCTCGCTTACAAATCGCGCTCACGTCATATCATGATAAAGACATAGGATATCTAAGCCAGCAACGCTGGCGTGTTAGGTATTTCATGGTATTATATTATAAAATACCTAACGCGGCAGCACTGCCTGGTAAAACCAACCTCACAAATTGATTAAGCTTACTCACCTGCCAATTCTCTGGCGGTTCTTCCTTGAACTGAGGTGGGTCTAGCGATGTGCTCTCCATCATTGGCACGTCCATGCCCATATCTTGTTCCATTGGCTCCTCCTACATACAAGATATTATTAGGATTAATTTTATAATAAAATATACTACATTTTACTTTCTGAAAATACTTTCGTCCGCCTTGAATAAATTTCCCTTGAAGCAATAGGGAAACTCAGATGAGCGGTCTATAAGTATTGTAGGATGTCATCGTACAGACAAAAAGAAAACTGGCTCACGGTCAATAAGACAATGCAATATTGAGTGGCACACAATTAGCGCGCTTATGGCGCATAATGGGGCGTTAAACAATCAGCTTAAACCAATATTCTGTGTCGTTAGTTCTAAAAATAGCCACTAAGAATATTTTATACCAATATAAAAAACATTAACACAAGATATAACATACCACAAAAGTACTGTTTAATTAAGAAGTAAGAACTGTTTTTGTGCATTTTTATATATTTCCCATAGTGATAATGTGTAGTGATCCAGCGTTCGTTATGGAGTACCTTAACAACAGCCGGAGTAAATGGATAATCTGTGGTATGGTCTAAGTCGACCAGATCGTCAGTAGACGGAGGCGGCTCGTCAGGCACCTCGCGTTTGATCAGGAACTCGGACGTGTCGAAACTTGTCTCCATTGGCGTCATCGTATCTTAAAGGACAATAGAATTTTGGAATGTTGGAATATTTTCAATAAAATTATGTAACAACTATTCTCAAGGGGTTTTAATTTGGCTTTGAAGAATTTTAAAAACTAATTTCTTTTAAAAAAAATTAAAGTTTACTTGGTCTCAAGTAAGCTTTGATGTATAATCCAATGATTATAACACAACTTGATACAAGGGTTAAGTCAAACCTTATATGTTTACCAATTCTATTTTGAAGTCGCGTAAAAAAGAAAAATTAACTCAAAGCTCGTCTTACCTGGTGGAATAACAGGAAGTTGTACTAGAGTACCGTCTTTGGTTTCCACTTCTTCAAGGTCTGAACTGCCCGAGTCTGAATATTGAAGATCTGGACAAAGAAAAACAGTTTTCAATAACATTGGAAAGTACCAAAATGGTGTTTCTTATAACAGATCAGAAACTATGTATACCTTCTTCCAAACTGTTCTGATCCTTCCTTGGTCTACCACGTTTCCTTGGTGGTCCTCCTGCAATAAAATTAACAAGTAAGATCGCTAATAAATAATTCAATTGTAAGGAGGTACTATTCATGACATAAATGTGAATGACTGCCAAAAGCAAGGAACTATTTTCTGAGGATCGTGAGTGGAAACGCCATCGACCAATCACTGTCTTACGATTTGCGGGGTACGGGAGGAAACCCGTTTTTATGAGGCGGTAAAGCTATAATCAGAAATAATAAGATTACCGTCTGGACCGGATGCTGAAGGCTTATGTTTCCTAGGTCGTCCACGGCCACGTTTCTCATCGGATGGTGGGGGCGGTAGCAGTTCTTCCATATCGTCTGACTGCTCCGCCTCTTCGAGCATCTTCGCTTGCACTTTGGCTATATTCGCTTCAAGCTGACTCGCGTGCTCGCCGAACTGAGTTTGAGAGATACATACAGATTTATATAGGGATTTATTAATTACATAACACGCAAAGGGTTCTATATATCCATTATAAACTCTCCGAAACCGCAATCGAAGAAAACAGCTGTTCCATATTTATTTTATTGAATACCATGATGCTTTTACTACTACGATATTCATACATTTTTTGTGAAAATTCCCTACAGGCCTACAGCTTAACTGAGTCGGTTCCTGAGGTAGCTGCGCCGGAGTGAGAGTTTACGTAACAGTTACGACGCACTGCACGACATAACTGTTACATAACAGTCACTCCTCCCGCAAAGCGCAGCTAACTCAGAAACCAACTCAGTTTAGCGGTAGGCCTGTATTTTGTTGATACAAAAATTGAAGAATACAAACAAAAATTTCCCTTACTCCCAGTCGTCACTACTGGCTTTGTTCCCACTGGCGATAAATGGGGGAAAAAATCCCAAATATTACCAGGTAGCAACAAACGGGATAAAAAAAACTAAATTGTTGCCAGTGGTGATTCTCACTGACGACAAATGGGGAAAAAAACGTTAAAACCCATATGTTGCCAGGAGACAAATGGGATAAATAATCCCATGAGCTTGAGATTATGACAAATGAAGGTCTACAAACAGTTTCATTCTTTTTCTATTGTTGCAGGTGATGCGTAGGAGATAGTAATTGACCTTATTATCCTTTGAATAATTTGAAACATCATCTCAAATTTCAAACTGGAGGTTGTCTATGGTTATCCGCCAATTCAATTCCAAGATAAAGAGCTACTTTCAAACAAGGATAACATAAAAATCCAACTTTCTCAATTACCTGTTCTAAAGCTTCAATAGTGACCTTCTGTATAGCCTCAGCCTGTCGTGTGAATTGAGAGTTAGGGCCATTGTAAGCGCGACAGTTCTCTACTAACAGGGTTATATCCTTCAAGAAGTCCTCACGACTGTGGTATTTATGAGCTGTAAAAATGAAACATTTTTAAAGCACTAAATACACCTAAACTGACCTCCAAAATATTGACGGTTTTCGGATTTAAATTCAAAAAGTGAATATTGCCGTGTTGCTCATTTGCTCCACAATGTATCATCAGCAATGATCGGAATAGGGGGTTCCAAAAGAGTAGATAAATGTCTACGTAAAGATACAAGGAGAAACATAGAGTGGTTAAAACCACCAAATATTAATTAATTACTTTTTCGAATCTAGAATAGTAGTAGTGACTGTGGAAGCTGACGTTGTGTTTAAAGTATTTTATCTATTTTAAAGTAAGTAACTAGGGGCGCCATGTAAAAGAATGTAGTGGACTCATTAACCTTTCATAAAAGTAAACGTTTTTTATCATCTACAAGCAAAAGCTTATTTTAACTAATATGGATATTATTATTATAATTAGTTTCCTAATAATTTAATTAAATTTCATTATGAATTCGAACAAGTAATTAATATTTGGTGGTATTTTTTCAACCAATCTATGTCACTCTCTGTATCTATATGTAGACTATAGATACAAAGATATATCGACCCCTCCTACGTAAAGTATTGTATGTCGAACTTGCAAGTTTACATGGGAGCGTTTTAAAGTTCTGAATTCACTGAAAGAGTGATTCATCTAATAGATCATCTAACCGCTATCTAGGATTTTATAGCACTATGTGAATAACGAGCTTTGCCGAATAAAACTGAGAAATGATAAAGTCACGTGTTATGGTCATTTCAGTGCATTCAGAACTTTAAAACGCTTCCCTGTAAACTTGGCAATTTTGACATACGATACTTTACGTGGGAGGGGTCGATATATCTACTCATTTGGAATAGGTTCCGACCATTGGTCATTAATAAGATAAGCATACCGAAAACTCACGATACTTTCAATCTTAAAAATCAGTTTTAGGAAACTAGGTGATTCTGTGTCACGATACCTTGTATCCTTTTGCCCATCGTCTCCATGTCAATGGGCTTCTTAATTACATTATAGTAATCCTTCACTTGTTTCTTGTTGACAGGTTTCAAGAACGGCCACGCTTCTGGCATCACCTTTAATTTCGTGGTTAGTAGATTTTCAAGAATGAAAGATAGCGCCACCTGGGAAGAAACAAAGTTAACGTATATAACATATATAAGTAGATTACAATCTCGTCGAACATGTCCTTTATTATATTGTAACAGAGGCACTTTTTATAAGACAACAAACGATAAACCAAGAAGACGTGCCAACAACAGGGCTTAATTTTTTATACGAACATGTATGTCTATACACAAAGAGCATTTATGTGAAACACTTAAGACGATGTGCACGAAAGTAGTCTCCCAGCAAGAAGTACCGTTCCTTTCCTGTACGTCTAGCGCACCGTGGGTACAATCGCCGAATACCTTTCGCCGATTGGCAAAACCTTTCACCACGATAGCAAACATTATAGTGTATTATGAGACTTAAGACGATTCTTTTTCTTTCTCAAACTTTCCCAAAGTGGTCCCTGCCCAGTGGGCGCTAAGAGTCCTAAAGGGGCGATAGGTGCCTCGGAAGCAATTGAAGGCATTGATGCTGTCCAGGGAGTGCTATGGCATTCGAAAAAAAGACATGAATTGTCTAAACTACACTACATTATATATGTAATTTTGTTTCCTTGTGATTATTTTGTGTTAGGTCATTATGAAAAATACGTGATTTCAATTATTTTTTGTGGTGGTGGGCGTTCAAATTTTTTTATCTTGGCTAACCTCTTAACACCCAGCAACTATAACGGAAAAAGAGCTAAATGCCCAACATACATTAAAAAGTACTAAATCTGTTCTCGGCGGTCTAAAGCAAGTAAGTAAAAATAGTGCTTAATTTTTTAATATATAATTATATATTTTTTCGTTGTTTATAATGTTGGTGTGAAGAGAATGATAAATTTGAAAAAGACGCCACTAAAATTTAAGTTATAAATTGATGAAGTATTAAATAAATGTTCTTTAGTCGACAGAATATTACTTTTAAATGAATGAGTAAATGAATGATGTTAGTTTTTGACTTACATGCTATAGACCGCCGACTTTAGAAATATAATTACATTCTTCAGGTCTAAGCAAGTATACCCTGAGCTTTGTATGAGAAACGTATTTTTCTAGATACCCAATTGTCATATAAAATATGTAGCACTAAAGAATGCGAAATTTTCATTATAATATACGCTGTTACTCGAAAACTCTGGTGCACAAAAGGAGCCACTCCGCACGACGTACCCAGGGGAAGTATACGCCGATTGGCAAATCCTTTAACCACGATGGCAAGGATTATAGTGTAAGCCATGGATACGATAACAATATACACTGGGCGTTTACGTGATCATTGAAATAATATTGTCTGGGTCTGAATCACTTCACATATCATTCTACATTTTGATGTACATGGGGGTTTAGGAGATTAAAGTTTATACAAAAATATAATAGCCACGTTGGAAAAAACATTTCAAACAAAAGAAATTTACCTGATCATTATCATCAAGTAAAGGATTGATCTGTTTTTCAAGTTTCATGAGCTGTTCTTCTTTCTCAGCCAGTTTGTCGACGCACTTTTGCAACATTCGCTGAGCGGCGACTGTGAGACTGCTGGATAGACCTAAAACAATTTGTAAAAACCAAATAGATTCAAAAACTTTTAATACTAAAGAAAAAGAAAAAGTTAAAGAAACTTAATAGTAATATTGTGAAGGAACTAACACGTGTCTCAGCGGGAATGGTACTCGGGGGTCTTAATGTAAGTTTTCAAATATGTAAACTTAAGAGACCCCCCCACACTAACGCTTTTGCACACTTCTTGCCAACGCACGCACAGTGTTGACACGACGTCCGCGCGGCGGCGACGCAACGCCAGCGCGGCTTATGCCCGACGCTAGGCGCTATTTATAGTCTCCCTGGGTTCAGTTACTGTCAAATAAGTAATACTCGACTAATGATGTGACTCTACTCATGATGCGAATGAAGCTTCATACTGTCTTTTGATTTGGTCCAGTATTACGTACTTGACAATAATTGTTTCGGATGGATGTCACACGGAGAGCGGGAGTAGACTCCCAGCAGATACTCACTGACGCCGCGTTGGCGTTGCGCCGCCGCCAACCTGGCGGCGTGTCGACGCTGTACGTACGTTGGCAAGTCGCTGACGCTCGAAAGACGCTAGTGTGAGGGGTCTCTTAACTA